AATAATAATTTTGCTGTGAACATTTTTTCATCTTCATCTTTTAAATCGGAAACTTTTTATTTGATAAGACACTTCATATGGTGTCTATACAGACCGGGAAAAACCTGGAAATTCCAGAAAATAACCATTAATTTGAATTGAATTAGAAAAATCCGGATAACCGGAAAATTTATGTCAAACAGGGAATTTTTTTAGAAATTTAAATCTTTAGTACAACTTGTTATTTGAAACCATTTGAATAGATTAAATAATTTAAGACGATCGAATTCAAAGTATATTGTTCTTGGTATAAAAATTGCATAAACTTATTTCAATCAGGTTAGTGGTAAAGAAATTGTCAACTGTTGAAAATTAAAAAATTTTTTTAGGTGATCTGCTTGAGGAATTCGGACCCATAGTTTCTTGATAAATAATGAAAACAATTTATTTAAAAACGGTTTAAAATAGAATACGTTTAATAATATGAAATTTTTTAATTATTAATAACAATTTAATTGATATTTAATTAACCAAACGAAAATCGGGGAAAATCCAAAGAATAGACAGGAATTTGGTCCATCCAAAAATGTAGACACCATGACTTGATGCATGGAATTAAGCGTCATTTTTACATTTGGCAAAAAATTTGAAAAAAAAATTTATAAAATCACTCAATCCGCCAATTTAGTAAACTTTTCATATTCGAACTACACGCAAGCTTGCGCCTCCGCGCACCCTGTCTCGCGGGACAGTACATTACGGGACACAAATGTGTGAATAATTATTCAATTAATATACATTTATAAAATAAATCAGTTTTATTTATTAGAATACAATTTTTTAAGATCATATTGCACCTTCCAACTAAAGAGTAACATGTCTGGCAAATTCAAAGATTTCTTGAATCTCAGTTCAAGGCAAAAGAGACGACGACTAGATGTAATTCTTCATAACAGACAAAACCACGAGAAAAATGTTAAATTGGCAAATTGTAATGAAGCTGGTGCATTGGAAGAAGGTACTGGTGACAATATTGTACATCATGCCTTTCGCGAACAATCTTCTGAAGAGGATTATGAAAGTCAAAGCTCCAATGAAGAAGACAGTCTCGAGAATTTCGATGATGGAGGGATTCCTAATGAAGTCGGGAACGAAGATCTTATCTCTGATGGGAGTTTCTCAGAAGAGGAAGTTGCAGTTAATAATGATAATCCAGAAAATTTAGCATATTTACAAAGAAAGGCGTTGAAAAACGCTTTCTTGTTAGCTAATATAAATCATAGCCAAGGAAATACATTATTAAAAACTTTAAGACAATTTCCTTTTAATTTAAATTCGCTGCCTAAAGATTCAAGAACTGTTCTGAATACACCAACTATTGTTGCTAGTAAAAAAGTACAAAAATTGGCATTCTTTAAAAGAATATATTTCAGTAAGTGAACAAGTATATGGAGAACAGTTCATGTCCTACAATGTTCACGGCATGGAGCATGTTGTCGCTGATGTTGAAACTCTTGGTCCTGCAGAAACATTCAGTGCTTTTTGCTATGAGAATAACATGCAAGAGTTACGAAAATTGATCCGAAAGCCAGGCCTTAAGCTTCCGCAAGTGTATAAAAGACTAGTAGAAAGAGACGATTACGATTCGACACCTCCAGATAAAAATGTTCAAATTCATCTATCACAAAGACACGCACAGGGACCTTTACCAGAATATATTCCTGCCAATATTTGTCAAGAATTTAACAAAATTGAAATCGGAAAATGCACATTTTCAACTCAGCAGCGAGACAGTTGTTGTTTACTAAACGATTTAAGCGTGTGCGTCATAAAGAACATAATACAAATAGAAGAACAAATTTATTTTGTTGTTAATAGTTTTCTATCCTCTGCTGATGTATATGACGTTGGAATATCGTCATCTTCTGCAGGCGTGTACAGTTGTCAAAATTTGGACCAAACTTTAACAGTAATTCCGCTTCAAAGTGTAAAAAATAAAATGTACCTTATGCCACAATGGAGCAGTAAAGAAGGGGAAGAAGAGCGTATACTTGAAAATAAGTGGATATGTGCCTCGTTATTATCTCCTTTTAAGTTGACCGAAAATTAAAATATATAACTGAAGGCATATGACAATCAACATACATAGATCAGAGTAAGAAAACTAACGTTATATATTTTTAAACAGCATGTCAAAAAATTGGTGTGTTAACAATTGTTCTATGAATGACGCTTTTATTAGTGTAAAATAATTATATGCAGTTTTACGTTTTTATAAATCATGAAATTAGTGGATTAAGGGAAGCTAATTTATTTTGCAGTAATATTTAAGTTGTTTAAACTATGTGTGGAATGTTCTCATGAAAATTGACTACTTTGTCGATTTCATTTTTCGAGATAATCGCAATTTATTAATTTCGGTAAAAAATACAGAACTTTTTTATTAATTTACATCAATCTCTATTGAGTCTTACTGCAATCATGCAGTTGTCATGAATTTATTCCATTTTTGAGTATTTATTTTCATTGTTTTAGAAAATACCGAAAAGGGACCACTTTTTCTGTTCGTCGAAAAAATTGCAAATTTCGATAATTTTCGGAGGTGAAAAATATAAAATCTATTGATTTATTATTTTTAAAATATCTCTTAAAGAAATTATAATCTGTATAACTTACTAAAAAGATCAGAAATTTTTACATTCCAACTTTAATTCTGTTTTTATTAAAATGAGGTTTTTCATATTTCTGAACATTATTCATAATAGAAGCATTCACAACATTTTTTATTAAGTGTATTTTTTTATTTTTTATTTGAAAAAAACGATAATCATTTGAAAATTGACTTTTTAAATAAATAGGCCAATTTGTATTTTTGTTGAAAAACTTGTAAATTTGTTTAACATCGCAGGAAAAACATAGATTTTCGCACTTCAAGTTTTTTTTTCATTTTTCCCAAAATAAGATTTTCGCAATCCTAAACTTTGAAATGGTGTAATTTTTACACCGAAATAAGGGATAAACTTCTCGAAAATTTTCCAAAAACAAGGAATTCGTTCATACAGATAAACCAAAGTGATCCCTTTTCTTGCGGACATCAACATATTAAAATTAAAAAAAAATTAGGAAAAATTAATTTTCGACCAAAATTATTACTTTCTCATGTGATGAAAATGTAAAAATTTTTTTCATAAAATAAGATTTTTTTATATTTAAAGTTCTTTACGATCCGTACGATTTTTTAAACCAGTAAAGAGAAATAAAATCATTTGTGACTGCTTTCTGCCCCTTACGTAATCCCCTTATTAATTTCTCTTTCGTTTAAAGTACAGGTTAACGTCATGAGCCAAAATTTATGGAAAGGGAAGCAGGATAAGCACCCATTAAAGACATCTCGAAGTGGTAGAACACTCAAGCGCTCACAAAAAGTAATAACGTCTTCTGATGATGGATCTTCATCGAAAAAATCAAAAACAACAACAGAAGTAGATGAAAAGATAGCTAATTTAAAAGAGAAATATGCAACAATAATAGCCAACAGGTCGAGTAAATCACAGTTACAGATTCTCAAGTCTATTGAGACCTTAAGTTCTGGTATAACATTGTACGTAATAATTAATTACAAGAATAATATAAATTGTAAAATAATAATAATACCCTAAGAGCAACCAGATATTCAGGATATCCCACAGACGTCCTAGGGATATCCGGATATTAAGATATTCATACTATGTCTCAGATGTCCGCGTGGATATCCCGAGGACATCTTGTAATATCGGTTGCTGTGAGGCTAATTATATAATTACCCTCACAGCAACCGATATTACAACCCAAATAGCACGGAATATTCCATTCACATTCCAGGAATATTCCAAAGGAATATACCATTCACATTCCTGGAACGTGTAAATGTTTTACCTCGGGAACATTCCTTTGGAATATTGCAGGAATGTTCCACTGGAATATTGAATTTTTGTGAAATATTCATAAGATAAAATATTTATTATTCTTCATATAGTAATATTATACTAAAATATTCAATATTCCAGTGGAAGATTCCTGCAATATTCCAAAGGAATGTTCCCGAGGTAAAGCATTTACACGTTCCTGGAATGTGAATGGAATATTCCGAATGTTCCAGTGGAATATTCCCGGAATGTAAATGGAATATTCCGTGCTATTTAGGATTAAATGAAGCTTTAAGAACCAGGAACCCTCTAATTATAAAACTAATATTATTATTTAAAACCGAATATGTTCAATATCAAATTTATTTAATTTTTTTAGGCCAATCGATCAGTCAAAAGTCAATAAATCAAAACCAGGGTGTTCGTCAACACATGCGGAACAAAATCTGCAGAACAAAAGTCACCCACGGACTTCACATCACAAATTAACGCCTAAAAATGTTAATGATTTTGGATCAAATAAAAATGGTTCTAACAATTCCAGAAGTAATAATTCTGACAGGATCTCAGGAATTGTACGGTGAGTATCAATGTATATCATGGAATCCTGGGTATACACAAATAAGTATTTATATGTTGTAATGTTGAAATATATCTATGAACGCATTAGTAAAATATGATTATGAAAATATCATTACTAAAAATCAGTAGAAATTAAATGTTTTCAATCTGAATTTTCTTTTACATTTTATAGGCTATACAATAAGTCTAAAGATAATAAATCAAAACCTGATTGTTCATTAGCAACTGGAAGTCAAAGTCTCCAAATTGATGGTCATAAGCCAACTTCTTTTCTTTCTCCATACACACTCGGTTCACCACTTGATTTCAAGTCAAATAAAAATGATTCTACCAATTCCAGAAGTGATAATTTGAACTAGAAAATACAGGATAAGTTCCAGGGTATATTAGAAAATCCTGGGTAATACAAATAAATACATAAATAAGTGATGATGGAAGCAATATTACTATATAAACACTATTATAATTAGAAATCGGATATTTTCTGTATCCTAATTGTTTTTTATTTTCCAGACCGCTCGATAAATCTAAAGTTGATAAATCAAAATCTGAAAAATCATCAACATCTAAACAGCAAATTTCCGAAAATGGACATTACCCGCCACTATCTTTGCAAGACATGTTTGCGAATGAACCTTCCGATCCCGGAAGTGATGATTTGACCTTAGAATCAACACGGTAAAAAAGTGTACATTTTCATATCTAATCTGCTTAAGAAAAAAAAAATAATAATAATTATAATAAAAACAATAATAATAATAACTAAATAAATAAAACACTTACCTTCACGCACCCTGCCACGCGGGGCAGTACATTGTGAAGTAACACATACATTTAAGATTAATATACTTTGTTGTTAATGAAGTATAAATTTCATTTTATTTTTTAAGGTCACCAGAGAGGGAACACGACTAAATTTTAGGTGGGAACAATGCACCTGGATTTTCTACTCAAGAAATTAAAGTCGTCGAAGGTGCTTCTCCAACGCAATTTCAAAACACCTTAGAGTAAGTATAGTTAGTTGCTCATCACATAATTTTCTCTGTTTTGACACAAATAATAAGAAATAATATTTTTATATTTTCAGTATCATACTTGAACAAAACGTTCAAATTCTAGCTCAACAAGAGTTAATTCTTAAGGAACTCTCCAAAAATAGAATTGAATCTGAAAACAAACTCTCAGAAAATTTCTTAACACCTCTTGCAGGATTCCCTATTGATACAGTTGAACAATTTGAAGAGTTAAACTCTAATGAAACGAAAGACGTTCGTATGAGAATTGTAAGTAAACTGAGTTATTAAAAAAATTGACTAAATAAATATTTAGTCAATTCAAATCTACACACATTAGACTTCGATTAAATATTTTACGAATTCATTTCAGTATAATCACCTAATCAATATGGGAGGTGTAACTTTGAGACAATTTTTGGCTAACTCTTTAAAGCAGATAATGACAGATAATCTGGTTTGCTCTTTCACTTGGAATAAAGGAAGTGATACTTTGGCATTCGGCAATACAAAGGTTTCAAATGTGCTATTTCGTAAGTATTCTTTGTTATTTTAATCAATTATGCATAGATTATTATAATCAAGCAATTTTTGACGATTTATTTAACAAGTTTCTCAAATAATAACAAATTTATCATTTCGAATAATAACATTAAGGTACAATTTTTATTAACTTATTATCTATTTTTATTTACAATACATTTACAATAAAGTCTTAATGAAAGGTTTATTTTTAAAAAACTTTTATGATTTTGGAAGATATGATCAATTTTCCTTTTTTTTATTATTTTTGATGACAATTAATATTATTTGAATTTTTTATATTGATATTGATACTACTGTTTTTATACTTACATTTTAAAGATTGAAAAATTAAATTGAAGTGGTTGAAAAACAATTCAATAAAACCTAAACGTATATGTTTTAAAATTTTTAATTTATTCTATTGAAATTTACGTTAAATTATATATTTATTTTTGCAGAATCTGCCAAAAAATGCATAAACTTCGAGGGTCCTGCAAATAAACAGATTTTTAAAGATCACATGTTAGAAGTTCTGCGACACACGAAACAAAGACATCGAAAACGTCTCCGCAAAAATAGACCTGAAAATGGTGTTGGTGATGAAGATGATGATTTGACTGCTGTAGAACAGGAAATTGCAAGATTAGAAGCCGAGCGTTATTCTAACTATGATGCCAGTTCTGAAAATGAGGACGAATCATACGACGATTCGGGATCTGATGAAAATGATAGCTACACAGACGAAGAGCAAAATTAAGTTTGTAAGAAACAAGCAAAAGCTGATTTTACACACACAGAAACATTCCTTTAGATAATCGAAACGTATTATTATTATTATTACTTCACTTAGTTTTAAAATTTTGTACTTCTTGTAATGTTTTTTCTCTCAGGTAAAGAGAATCTGTGATATATAGAATGTGTATCATCGCATATACGCCAAAAGTCAACGTATTTTGCAAAACATTTGTTTTACTTACTTCATTATTATATTTCATTACTTATAATATTTCTGTACACCCTTGTCATAGACTTACAGGATACAGTTAGAAAAGACTGAACAATAATATATAAGTATAATATTGTATAGGGTGTCTACAACACTTAAAAAACCCTAAGTCCTAAGGCAAATGAGAAACTAAATGTTTTAATTTGTTTCATATGAATTAATTGGTTTTTTATTTATTTAAACATTTATTTTTCATTCTAACATTACATTTGTTAAAAAAAGCGTGAATTTTATGTTACTTATTTTCGCATATCTTTGTCGCGAATTTTTATTTAAAACATCTACTCACTAAAATTATATGTTAAGTTGTAATTTGTGTTTTATCGAATTTATTGAAAAATGTGTAATAAAAAACCAAAAAAACTGCATAAATTGTTTTTTAATTGAAATTTTTCTAAAAAAAATTAATTCTTATGAAGAAGCACGAAAGGCGCATCTAACCGTCACGCATATAAGCATTACGCGTGCGACCATCATTCGTGCGATCTTTATGAGTCGCATTTGAGGACGCATCTGTGGGATGCGGTGAGGGCACGTGGTGCGGATCAATCGTCACGCGTGCGTGCCATATGTGGCGAACAAAGCGCGCACTTTGCTATCTGGGCATTTACACCTCCGAAATTTACACTAGACAAAACGTTCGTTGTAATACTCATATTTTTTGGCAAAATTGCTCTTTATTTGGAGTCCCAAGATTTTTTGTATTAATTGAAAATCGTCTATTCGCTCTCGTAAGACAATTAGAAATATCGCGCGACAAAAGAAAAGAAATTGTACAATCCAAAACAGCAGTTAGCTTAAATTCAATTATAAAAGCAGTTATCGAATTCAAACATCTAATTGTGATTCCAGTTAAAATAATTGAAGGAAAATGTTTAAGAGTTTTCGACTACGTTTACCTTTTTCCAAATGATGTAGAGAAAAAATGAAAAATATTCTACTATCTAATATGCAGTAAGAAAAACATTTATGTTGTATTCCAGTTTTTAAGTCCTTTACAAAGGTAAATTTTCTTCTAACCAAAAATTTAAGAAGAATAAGTTATAGTAATTCAATTTATTAGATGTTAATTCAGGAGACTGAATATTACTGCTTTAAATAATGTATATAACAATAAATATATAAATATATAAAAAATATGTAAATGAATGTAAATAATATTTTTTAAAAATAACGTCAAATATATATCAAATCAAATTGTTTATAATTATTATATTTAGTATTACTTAATATAATAAAAATGGTACCTACCAGCTATTATTTAAAAATTAATCAAAACTTTCATTCTGAGTCAGTACAATTATTTGTGAAAAATACAAAATTCCACTATAAGAATTTTAAACGTACGAATGTTGAACCATCCAATTGTTAGTAATAATTAACTTGATGATTTTTCTTGTTTTTTAAATATATAACCTCTTCACTTCACTATTTTAATGACGATTATTTTTTTATATGCTTTTAAAATCACCACTAAAATGAGACGAAAAATGTTGATGATTTTTCGCGTGATAAATTTTCTTCTGAGATTTCAAAACATTCTTTTGAAAATTTCAGACAATCATAGCAATAAAAACGCTTGGTACGCTTGGTAAATTTGCATAAAACAATAAATAATAAGCTACATGAGAATGACTACAAGGCATCTTATTTGCAAAGTTTTGGTTAATTTCTTTTACTATTTTATTATTATTCGACTAATATTATTTTTTTTACGATTCTTACAAAGTTGGGAAAATTACGGCGTTGAAGTTGACAAAAAATTATTTGAACTAATGTATTATTTAATTTGTCGTATTTCAAATTTGGCGCCATGGCGACATGGCTGGGATTCATGTCAATTCACAAGTTCCGAACCTAAAAGTTTCGTTTTATTAGTTTCATAAATAGTAAAAACAAAACGACTTTAGTAAATTTTTCTTAAGTGCAATGAGTAAAATGTGTTTGTTCATTATAAACAATAATTTTAATTCAGTTATGTTGAAAAATAGAGTTCTTGTGCTAAATTATATGAAAAAAATGTATCGGAATTTCCAACCGGAATTTCAGCAAGAAATTCCGCAAGAATTTCCGGTGGTCAATTCCCGGGAACTTTTTCACGTGGGTAGTTTCAAACGAATCCAATTAATTTTTAAAAAATCGTCCGCCATTTTGAATTTTAAAAAACGGATTTCAGATTCGTAATCAGCGACCCCGAAAACCCCCGAGTAACTAGTTTCAAGCGAATCGAAGCAATTTTTAAAAATTCGTCCGCCATATTGAATCCGCTATTTTGAATTTTGAAAAACGAATTTCAGATTCGTAATCAGCGACACCAAAAACCCCTATTAGAACGTTTGTCGTTTTAATCAATTTTTTTTAAATATATGCTGCAAAAGGTTAATTAATAACAAACAAAACAAAAAATTGTTTTAACTATTCTGCCGTGTTAAACAGAAACTTACGTAAGCGACATTTTTGTTTTTGTCAGTATTTCAGTAGTAAAATGTACCAAAATCAGCCTAAGCGACAATGTCACTTACGTAAGTTTTTGTTTAACACGGCAGTACAATAAACTAATGAATAATCGTATATAATATGTATATATTAGCCACTAGTAATAATTAAAGTTTTGAAATTCGATATTATAAATAAATTTTTATTAAAGATTTTTAATTTTAAATATAATATAACATAAAATAAAGTTTTGAAATATGTATGAGAATTATTAAAATTAAATTCTTTGTTTAAAAATATTTAAATATTTTTAAATATACAAGTATTTAATTAAATCTGAAATTGATAAAATTTTAACACAATTCTTCTTCTTCTTCACACAATTCCACTTCTTCTAATTGTTCGTAAAATTCAGAAAGTTCTGATGAATCATTTTCATTCTCTTCTACTGTTTCTTCTCTTTCTATTTCTTTGATCGAGAGCAGTTTTCGTACTTCTTCTGGAAGTGCCAATTTGTGTCGATTTTTAATTCTGGAGGTTAAGTTGAAATCATTAACTATGGGATCAGATGTATTCATTACCCAGTAAAATAAATCATTAAGAGTTGAAAGGCGGCTACATTTCCTACTATGATTTTCTCTATAATTCTTATAATCTTTATTTCGGTCCTCAGATGCTTCCTCTCCGAGCATTCCCACAGGTACAACACTGTTCCTCATAATGTCAGCTCCATGACAAAATATTTTGTGAGCAGTTGCTGACATTGGATACCACGAATAATACTTGACGTATATTTCAGCAGTAGAGAAACATAACTCATCAAATAAATATGGATCTATTGGAAGCTGAACGGACAAAGCAATTAAAATTGTTTTAAAGTTCATAACTAACTGTTTATCAAGTCCTAATAACTCAGCTAATTTGACTGGATTACTGTGATTAGCTGTGTTACCATTATTGGTTGTACCGCTACCTCCAGATTTTGGCTTATCAACGTGCAAAGAAAACTCTTCCCAGAACATCTTTTGAGCTTTAGCTTTTTTTTCAGCAAATTTTATTTTGTGTTCCTTACTTCTCACCTGCCATGATTTGAAATACATTCTGTATGAAATGTGTAACAAAAGTTTAAATGTCCTTATCCAAGCATGCAGAGGACTTAATCCATACTAAAGCGATTGAGGATTAGGAATAAAAACATTTCTATCTTTGTTCGAAAGATTGACTTGAATTTTAACCCCCGTCAAATCTATTTCATAAGCTTTTAATTCGATTATTTGATTTTTAAGGTCTTTTTTTACTTTCAAAATGAGTTCGGCAGATTCCTTTACATACATTAAGTTGATAGGTCGAGCAAATGACGCAAATTGAGATAATCTGTTATTCCATAAGACCATATTATTTGAAATCATCCATCTCAATGGCACCAGAGTGGCAGCAAATAAACTTTAATCATCGCTTGACTTCTGAGAAGTGTCCTGATTTGAGCGTCATGGCGTTACAACTGGCGTCGTGCGTGGCAGTGACAGAAGCGTCAAAAATGCATAAATGGCGTTCCTACTTGAATTCAATTTGTAAAGTCTGTAGACATAATTAACTAACTATAACTTACTTTTTATATTTTTGAGATTAAGCAAGACTCATGTGACACGAAAAAATTATTTTTTTAAACATTCAAACAGTTTTTTCGAAATTTAAAGTCGACAATTTTTGGTACTTTTTTGCGAATGGCGTTCTAACATTTACTCAATAAAATTATATTTCTGCTTCCAAAAACTGAGCAAACCACCCAAATCTTGTTACTCGGGGATTTTCGGGATCGCTGAACATAAATTTAATGCCAAATTGACAATTTGACAGTTGACAGCTGTCAATTCAACTGTCAACTTCTATAAAAAACAATTATTTTTTATGAAAATAACTGTATAAGGGTTTTCGGGATCGCTGATTACGAATATGAGATCAAATTGACAATTTGACAGTTGACAGCTGTCAATTCAACTGTCAACTTCTGTAAAAGACAATTATTTTTTATGAAAATAACTGTATAAAGGTTTTTGGGGTCGCTGATTACAAATATAAGATCAAATTGACAATTTGACAGCTGTCAATTCAACTGTCAACTTCTATAAAAAACAATTATTTTATATCAAAATAACTGTATAAGGGTTTTCGGGGTCGCTGATTACGAATATAAGATCAAATTGACAATTTGACAGATGACAGCTGTCAATTCAACTGTCAACTTCTATAAAAAACAATTATTTTATATCAAAATAACTGTATAAGGGTTTTCGGGGTCGCTGATTACGAATATAAGATCAAATTGACAATTTGACAGATGACAGCTGTCAATTCAACTGTCAACTTCTATAAAAAACAATTATTTTTTATGAAAATGACTGTATAAGGGTTTTCGAGGTCGCTGATTACGAATATGAGATCAAATTGACAATTCGACAGCTGTCAAATCAACTGTCAATTTTATAAAAAGTGATTAATTTTAATGAAAATAATAGTATAAGGGTATTCGAGGTCCTGAATACGAATATGTGGTCAAATTGACAATTTGAGAATTGACAGCTGTCAATTTAAATGTCAACTGTCAAATTGTCAATATGATCTCATATTCGTAATCAGCGACCCCAAAAACCTTTATACAGTTATTTTCATAAAAAATAATGGTTTTTTAACTGTCAAATTGTCAATTTGATCTCATATTCGTAATCAGTGACCCCAAAAACCCTTATACAGTTATTTTTATAAAAAATAATTGTCTTTAATAGAAGTTGACAGTTGAATTGACAGCT